GAACAGCAGTCACCTCCTGGCTTAAATGCTGATCATCTTCATGAGACCCAGGTGTCTCATCTCCCGAGGGCGTGAACCCACGGCGAGAGAGAAGAGGAGAGAGAGAGGAAGAGAGAGAGTGCAGCTGATCCGCCTGGCCGTGACACAATCATCTCAATGTTTTTAGATAAAGTGGAACTATTAAGCTTTTCCATATTTTCTTTCATATATACACTGATAAAATAACAGATGCTCATTTTAAACTTTGTCAAAGTTTAAAAAAATAATAATAATTTGAAACTTTAACATAATTATAAAACAAAGAGAAAATATGAAGTGAGACAAGATTTTCTGTTGCTACAGGAGAATCCTTTCATTGAGTGTTTCAATGCACAAAGGTTTTGGTAGAACTAATGTTAATACTTTCTTGATTGTTTTTTTGCAGTAGCACCAGCCCGGCCGTGCACTTTGACACGATGACGTTTGGACAGAACAAAGTGCGTCGACTCTCGACAGAAAACTCTGTGATCGAGCCAACCTTCATCCACACCACCGAGTGGCTTTGGTACTGGCAGGATGAGTTTGGGAGTTGGAACATGTTTGCATCTGCTGTGAGTAGCTACAGAGTATTGGCAGAAATTTTGGCAGATTGCTAAAAATTAACCCACAAGGACCCAGAACATTTTTTTTCAGGACAATTATGAGTGACGTTAATACCAAATGGACCACCTTTAACACATTTCGGAAGCTTTTTAAATAATGGCTGCTCCCACTGTCAGAAAACTGTTTCTGGTTGTAGTGATGATGTATGAACCCTGCTTTTGGGTCCAAACTTCTACTATGTTCATTACATGTTTTAATGCTTCTCATCTTTTTCTGTTTAATCTGAACAAGCCCTTTAAAATAGTCAGTGATCACTGTCGACCTCTCTGCATTTTTATTAGCACTGTTCATATGCAGCATGTTTTAAACGTGTGTGTGTGTATGTGAGAATGCGTGTGTCATGGGGGTGCGTTTGTGTGACCTCCTGCTCACCAAAAGGATCATAAAGCAGGAAGCTTACAACACAAGAAACAGATCTTTCAGATAGGATGTATCTACAATAAAATGTATCTACATTGTTTCAAACCACACAGTTTGAAACAATCTAGAGATGGTAAGCATAAAAATGACAACATTTAACAATTCACTTTAACATTTCCCTCCTGTTTTGTTATTTTTATGCTCCAGATTATTCCTGTGTAGTATTTTCTCAGCCATGCACTACTTGTTTTTGACAGTGTCAGTGTAGATTTAGATTTCACACAGCTCCTGCTGTCATTCACCTTCTATTGCAGCAAAGGTTCACCATTAATACATGTTCTAAACGTGCTTAGCAATCATCCTACTTCTCATCCATCTCATACACAGTAAACTACATCCTGCAAGTAAACAAATGAATGTCAACAGTCAAACAAGAAGAATCAAGAGGCACACACCCCGGGATACATCCACTCCTTTGTCATCTGAATGGGGATTAACCTTGCACAGTGGTGTTAAGTCAGTCAGTCTTGTCAGCTTTTACCAGTCAGTCAGTTCCCCATTTTTTTATTTTCACTCATTATTCATTCATTGATTGTTTCTTTTTTCTTTGCGGAACCTATCGTCGCATTTCGTTTCCACCCTCAGCAAAACGACGACATTTCCAAAAGAAAAAGAATTTCGACTGGATTACCTCGCTGAATCCTTTTAGAAAGGGACTCGCTTCCTAATTGTCCCAAATAAGTGGCTTTCTCCTGAGCATGTTTTAATTTTGGAGAAACTGACTTTGCAACCGTTCGCAACAACATGTTGTAGTTCTCCCTATTCAAACGTTCAGATCTGCTTAGATGAGAGAGATTATTAAACAAAACTTTCAGTGCACTATGAAAGTAACAAAATAAAAAGTAGGGG